ATATATATATATATATATATATATATATATATATATATATATATATATATATATAGGTGTCCCACTTAACTTGACAACTTCAAATAACTCAAAAAATACGCAATGTGCGAAATTTTGAGTCGAGATCAAATCTTAACAGTTTTGAAGCGGGAATCATTCTATGCTAAAATCAGCACTTCGCTGCCCCCAGCGGGTGGGGCGGTGGGCAACATTGAACTCTTAAATAGGAACCTCTTTTTTTATTTCAGATTCGGATTCTACGAACAAAAATCCATAAGTTTTGCCTGAAACTTTTTTCTGATTTGTGATAGGTGGAGCTGTAATCGCAAAAATTTGATTTCCGAAGATTTCCGACTGTATTTGGAGTGGTTTTGAGTGTGACCGCAAGGCACACGCGTCAATTTTGGTAGCGTCTCTCCATGGCCCGTGCCTACAGTACTTCAGTGGCGATCCGATATTTATTAAACATTTACCTTTCTGAACTAACATTCCTCCTTGTTTCATCATGGATTACGTAAATGTGTAAGAAAAAATTGAAATAATTTTCATTGACGGCGAAGTTGGGAGAAATTTCGACGCTGCTGTTAATTTGTATGCTCAACGTTTTCCTGACAGAGTACGATCGCGTTCTTCTTTCGTAAGAATTGTTCAACAATTCTCTACTGACAGCAGTGTACAACCGAAGAAAAGAACACGTAAAGTTTCTGCTATTGGAGAAAATAATCAAATATCAGTACTAGCTGCAGTAGCTCATAATCCACATGCGAGTGTTCGAGAAATAGCTCAACAATCAGGGATTCCTCGTATGAGTTTTTGGAGGATTCTGAAGATACATACATTTCATTCGTATTATTCCATACAATTCCTTGCATCAGGACTTTCAAAACCGACTTCAGTTTTGTCAATGTGCAGTTCAGTGAATACAAACGAATCCGAACTTTTTTACTCAAGTACTATTCTCTGATGAATCGACATTTACAAACCACGGTGAAGTTAAACACCATACTATGCATTTTTGGAGTGTAGAAAGCCCACACTTGATTCGTCAAGTAAATCATCGGCGACCTTGGTCGGTTAACGTTTGGTATGGAATAATTGGCGATAAACTTATCGGACTTTATTGACCGTAATCTAAATGGTGACAAGTATCGAAACCTTCTTGATAAAGAACTACCGAGGAACGTCGAAGACGTAAGTTTGGAAATGCGACAAAACATGTGGTTTCAACATGATGGTTTCCCAGCACATTACTCATTAGTAGAACGCGAGGTATTGGATCGGGATTACAATAATCGGTAGAGAAGGGCCAATGCACTGGCCAGACAGATCACCAGACCTTTACTCACCAGATTTCTTTTTATGTGGTTACCTAAAACATGTCGTTTAAAAAGAAACACCTACTACTAGTGAAAACATGCTGCAACGAATAAGGGACACTTGTGCCGCGATTTCACCTGATATGCTTATGCAATGTGTTCGTTCATTTGTAGGACGTATCAATAAATGCATTGAGGTTCAGGGCCATCATTTTGAGCTCTTACTTTAAATAAATGCTGAGGTATTTGTAGGATCATCTAAAACCAGCGCTCCGATAGTGAGAGGCAAGGGGACTCACTGAAAACAAGCACCCTGAAGGGAACAGAAAAGTGCTACGTCCACGTCGTTGTTCCTGAGTTACGCTAAAAGTAGTTGATTGACTTCCGTAGAAAATACTGATTTTTATTAACCACTCAGAAATAATCGACCACGCTCAAAACCACTCAAATTACAGTCGGAAATCTTCGGAAATCAAGTTTTTGCGATTACAGCGCCATCTATCACAAATTAGAAACAAGTTTCAGACAAAACTCATGTATTTTTGTCCGTAAAATCCGAATCTGAAATAAAAAAAAAGTCGGGGTTCTTATTTAAGATTACAGTGTTGCCCACCGCCTCACCTAATTCTGGAGGCAGGGGGTGCTGATTTTAGCATAGAATGATTCCCCTTTCAAAACTGTTAAGATTTGGTCGCGGCTCAATTTTTCGTACATCGCGTATTTTTTTTTTTTTAGTTATTTCATGTTGTCAAGTTAAATGAGACACCTTGTATAATCATAAAGATAATATAAATGATCAACAAGGCAAATTATTTATCATAAAAAAGCTTTTATCAAAATGTAAAGTTATGTAAAACCATCTGTGAACAACGCTAGTGGCTAAATCGTTCAGCCGATTTTCTCCAAAATCGATATTCCACAATTGATCTGACTGATCTGACATAGGACATTTTTCAAATTTTCAAAAAAAAAAAAAACTGAACAGACTTTATTGTTTGATTGTTTTTTGTTAGACAGTGGGAAGGGCGAATGGTGCAGATCTGATGTTCGTTGAAAAGTGATTTTTGGAAAATGACAAAAGTCAAACTTTTTTCAGTCTTCTTACATCTGAAATATTAAAGATAGAGATTCTTTACCTTCAAGAAATATTTTCTTTAAAGATTAATTTTGAAATAAGATCATGTAAAATTTTTCGAAACTTTGAGTACTTTTCGCATAATTTTGAGTGAAAATAGGGCGAGAATGTACGTACTGGTTTAGCACCACTAGATACTTGAAAGTTTCGTGACAAGTTAAAAATAATAGTTACTGAAATTTGTTTTGGGAACGGGAGAATTTCCCTCATTACACACCCAAGTGGATTCGTTAGCCACTATACAAGTTTTAATTTCGCGGTTGCACAGAGGCGAAACAATGTATTATAGAGGCAATTGGGTCAGTATTGATGGCAAAGCAGTATTGCCAACATACGTTTTCAAATCTGACACATGACTGATTTGTTTTGTGACCCAGTATTTTCATTTTGAAGTATCAATAGGTAAGCTTGATTTACCAATCATATAAGAAATTTAATCAGGGTAATGATGTTATATTTCTGAATACCTGATATGAATACCTAACATCCAAAATGGAAAATATGAATTCTTCACTTTTTGGGCACTTGTTTTGTCTTCTTTTCAATTATGTAATAAATGTATAATATTTAAGAAGAATTTAAACTTTATATAATAATAAAACAATATAGGAATTATTACTCAATACTTATTTTATGTTGTATAACCTGCTCAACCAATCACCATTTTGGCGGGCTATGGGATCGTATGCAGGCGCCAATGTCTAACGTCCCGTCTTGTTGAACTGATCCTGTCGGAGTGGTGATTGCGAAATAAGAAGCATAGTCAATATTAAATAACAGGTGAGTTGGGGCGTGTATACGCCGTATTATTAATGGTGAGTGAATAGGTGTAGTGAATAAGGATTTTGATGTGAATTTTATTGTTCATTCAAGAAGAGATGGCTTCCCGGGGAGAAAACCGACTACATCAGTATAAACGTAGGGCTCCCGAGCAAGAAACTCGCCGAAAGAAACTTGCAGATGAACGGCGAGCTAAACGGCTAACCGCCCGAACGGAAGCATTCTCTGCTTTCAGAGGAATCACGGAAGAAGACGAAGAACAACCACCACCACCACCACCCCGTGAGTAATTATTCGATTTATTTATCGTCTAAAAATGATAGTAAAAACTGTTCGTCGCGTACGAGGTATATATATCTAACTGGACTAATTTAAAGCTGATGGTGTTTTACTCTGTCTACTAGCTTCATTCCATAGCCATGTAAAATACTTATTTTTGCAGGTTCTTTGAATTTATTCCTAAGAACACTTCATTCTCATTGGAATAAATGAGAAGAAAAAGGATTTGTGTTTATCACTTACCATAAGATTCACTTCCAGTGACGAGAACAAAGTGTTCTTCGGAATAAATGCAAAGAACCTGCAAAAATAAGTATTTTACACGGATGACTGTGTAATGTTCTTTCCACTCACGTAAACATTCAGAGCCATTTTTCAAATTTTATTATGAACTTACTTATGAATAATATTGCCTGATTAATATTGATTTTTAAGAGTAGAAATTAAGCAGAAGGTGATGTTTTACTTACGAGTTAGTGTGAATATATCAGACTTTACATTTTTTGTACTAGAATTGTATAAATTCTATTTTCTAATAGTATAAAGGTAAGTTCTTTAATGTGTAACTTAGATCCATTTATGTGTTTAGTTGTGAAAAAATGGAGTGCTGGTTGTACTTTGCACTATATATTTACTATTTGAAGTAGGAGTAGAAACCACATTAAGTATTCTCGAATGAAAAAAATGACTTCAATGTGTAATCAGCTGGGATGATGTGGTTATTCAGTTGTGAGCTTCACAATCAAAAATTAAGTCATAATAAAACTCCCAGTGGGGTATCCACAACTAGCTGATCAAATGTCAGGAGTCACTATTTAAATCAAAGTCTTAAGAAAAGAGATGTGTTATGTTCAGTCCTTTCTAGAAATCTGCATTCAATTTGGTGATTTTTACAAAAAGTCTCTTAAAAATGTTCTCCTAAAAATATTGAATTTAAATGTATGTTTCTGACACGCTTGTTCACCACAAACTGTTCTTTTATGTTATGGATACTTGGGTGGCCAGAGAAATTAGAATGGACAAGTGAATAAACACATTTTTAGCTACGAATTAATCGTCATTAGCAGTTAATATTGAGATCTGTTTGACCTGTACCTTTTGATTCAGTATTTTCTTAGTCACTGAAATGTTCCTGAGCTTCCCATCTTAGTTTCAGTGTTCCCCCCCATCCCTTTGGTTTGAATATCAGTGTGTGTTTTATATGTGCCTGACTTCTTTCTTGTGTAGCTTTGCTATGTTCTATGGTAGGTTGTACTTTTTTACATGTTGTTTATTATAGCTTTAATGCATTTGCTATATAATAATTACATTCATTTGCCACCATTGTTTTACTAAATATGAATGTTATTACCTGAAATGTGATTGTGTACAAATCATTGTTCATCCATTAAAATTGGTGTGTGTAACATGTATCTTCAAAATCTCTATATTAATCTTGGTTCTTAGTTTTCTATAATTACATATGTACAATGAATAAACATTTTCATTTTATTACTTTGAAATTTGTTTTGGAAAAGCAGTAGTTAAAAATGTTGGTTGAAAATTGGCTTCTCTTTTTGAATAGCTGCAAATACTAGGAAGCAAAAACTGGAAGAGTGGAAGAAGAGACGTCAAGTAGCCCCAAAGCCAGAAAGAAAAGGAAATGTAAAGAAACCTGCCTTTGTGTTCAAAAAAGTAACCTACAATGATACACATTTATACAAACCTCTTGAATCGTCCACCTTTTGTGTGAGTAGTTTATCTGTGGCTTAAATAATTTATTTAGTTTATAAATTTTTATTAAGAAAGTTAGCTAAATTTTGAGGTTTGGGATGATGAGGAAATGAGTAAATTTTAATTCACATTTGCTTTGGCTATTTATTATAGGTGACATTAATCTCTCATTAATATAATTAAATAAGTTTGTCATAGCTGAATATACATTTGCCGTGTCAATTCTATGTTTATTATAAATAAAATTAAAATCTGAACAAATATGGATATGCTTGGTAATAAAAGGATTAACCAGAAAGGTGAACTTTAATTCAGATTAAATTTCACAATTGATAACATTCGGTGATTATTGAATCCTACATTAATAAACGAAAATGTATGTGAGGCCTGTGTATTGCATATCTTGTATTGTGTGTGTGTATTGCCCAAATAGCATATTAAGAAATGCAATAATTGTGAAGGTTATTAGTTTTTTATTATTTTAAATTGTACTTGATATGGATTGATATTTGAATTATTTCAAGTATGTATGCTCATAGTTGTATTTTAATTATTCTATGTAACACTCGCAGCCCCCTAAAGGTATCGTGCCTGTACACTCTTCACAACCTGGTCGGCAGCTAAGGTCTCGTGCAAGGAATCAGCACAATGGGTTAGTTCTTGCAGCTAGTTCTTGATAGATGGAAAATGTCGCTTCTTCTTTTGCAGCATCTCATTTATGAAATTTTATTTCCAGGCCACCGCAGAGTATAGGGGAAGTTCTGAATGCTTTTGCCACTGCTATGGCAAAAACTAAACCAGCAAAAAAAATGTCGAAAGTTCCCAAAGGACTGATTCCTGCTGCAAAAGTGAAAAAGGTTGAGGATTTGAATAGGACGTTTGATGGCACACCCACTCCAGAACAAAGTGTAGTGCTTCCAGAGGTTACTAATCCATTTAATTTGGAAACTTTTTCCAAAATAGAGACCAAACCGTTAGGGGGGCCCCAGGAGCAACCTGCAGAGAAACTTCCAGAGACGTCTGCCAACTATTTTAGGTAATTTGAAGAGCTTAAGTTTTTGATTAGGTTAGTGTTAATTATTTGAATCAATAACATCTAAGACCAAAAGTAAATAGTATATTTTCCTAAAAATGACATGTAAATGATTATTTGTGTAATCTTTTATCCTTTGAAGCTAATTTAGCACTTACTCAGCTTTAGAAACAAGAAGAGGGAGATAGAGGTTTTCATATGTTGGCAATGCAGCCATTCAGAATGAGTAAAATGGGTGTGTATGTATGTATGTAATGTATTTGTGTTGCATGCTATTTTTCCACTCGAGGTTAATGTCCTAATGTAATATTAATTTTATGTACTTCATTTGTGTATTGTATGTTTTATGTACCTCTTAGAAATGTACCATAGGGTGTTACATCCTAAGTTGATGAAATACATTGCAACGTTTTATCAGGCCCCATTTTGGGCATGTTATTTGTAATGTTTTTATGATTCTTCATTTTTAATTTGCCTTAGTTCCGCAACTATTTCTAACATTCCTCCTATTCACAAGTTTTTCAATAATATTGTTTATTTTAATGCCTTGCTATGCTTGTAAATTACTGCTTGAATAATTTATACTTCGGTTAACTTTTTGCGTGCCCCCCCCCCCCAAAAAAAAAACAACTAAAATTTTGTTCTCGTTTGATGTACAAGATGTGTTACTTTACCTGTAGCATGTGGATGTGTGACTATACAGAAATCACAGTTTGTGGAAATTCTGTGGAATTTACTCATTCAATTGATGACAATTCAATGAAATATCGACCTTTTCTGTACAAACAATGATTAATATTTATTATAAAGTTCCTATAACATGATTTGAGCTCATTATTGACTGGTTCTATGGCATTGATACATTACTAAATCGTACAGCTTTGATAAAAGATTGTAAGCTTTAAGAATGTTCTTCTTGGGGGGGGGGTCTTATTCAATTCTGGAATTAAAATTTTAATTTTCATTACTGAATGTATTTTCCACATTACACCAATTGTTAACTTCAACTCATCACTAACTTCACACTCATCATTCAATTCATCACTATTGGATATATTTTCTTTTATTATGGTATTATTACATTTTTTGAAAATTTTAGTAATACTTAATGCAATATTTGTAATTTTAAAAATTACATTTTGTAAAAATTATATGTACATTAGTGGTGGTTTGTTCACATTATTGTATTTGAGTTCACAGGCTTTAAATGTTGTATACTGCACTCTTTAATATGACGTAAAGTTCTTTTTTTCCTCTCCAAAAATTATGCCAATGAAATATTTTTTTAAAGGACTCACAATATTAATATTTCCAGCAATTTGGAAACCCTATAGTATTTTTGAGTTGATGTTCTTCAAATGGCTGCTAATGATGTTTCTCGAAAACTCTAAAATTTTCCTGTGAAAAAGAGATAAAAATTTTGAATTTGCAGTGGGGCTTGAACACAATTTTCTTCAAAACGTCTCCAAATTTTTCAAAGAAAATTGCCATTTAGGACAAGGTTTACTGGTCTTTAATATTCTTAAAATAGTATTTCTGTTCTACTATATTAAGATATTGAAAAATTAATAAAATTTCAAAAAAATGTAGTTTTGATAGTGATAGTTGGCAGCTGGCAAGAGTGTGTGGCAAGTCTGAATAGCTAGTCGAGACCAAAGGTAGTAGAAAACTAAACAGGAAAGTCTGTGCCATTTTGTAGCGGCACCTGTTTTTCTGTTTAATGTAAATATGTGAACTTAACTTTTTGTCATTAATATGTGTTAATGCAAACTGAAGACATTTGTTGTATTTAGAAACGAATAGAGTACTCCAATACAAACAGTGCAAGATTTCTCACTTTTGTTAACACATAAATAAAAATATTTCTTGCTCTTCAGAGAGTTCCAATAGAAACTCCAGTGTGAATCTACGCATTGGCAAAATGACACTTTGTTCTCTTCCAACCCCTTTGCATTATAAAATTATTTTTCTTTGCAGTTCCGTTAGGTTATGTGTGCATTGTTTGTCTTGTATGGGTAAATTCTTGGTTATTTGTATGTAATTTGTAAATAATTGAATTACAATGTCCTATGACTCCATTTCTTTCCATTTTAATTTAGACATTAAGATGTAGGTTTTGTATCAAACATGTGAAAAATATGTAAGTTTTAAAAGCCCTTGCACGATCAGTAGTCTTGCATAGTTGTACAGATTTTCCTCCGAGGTCAATGGTCGCAGGGCAAGGGATTCTAGGTTGGCTTGCCACTGAAGTCTGTCATCTACTTATAACATATTTAATGTGGTGTAAATGATATTAACAATTATGGAATTTTAGTTTAGCTGAAAATATAAAATGAAAGACTTATCAACCTAATTTGATGTTTGTGGAATTGTTGGTAGGGTTATTTAAGTGCGAAATTTATATTAAGTATCATGACTGGTGCAATGCTGCAAACATCACCAGTTTGTTGTGTGAAAATAAACTTATAATGGAAAGAATTTAAATGGCATTGTGAATTGCAACATTAGGGTTAGGGTGTACAGCCACAAATATAAGATGCATGGCCTTTGAATGGAAGAGAAGCCTAGCATTGCTCAAGAAATAGTGTTTGTTTTCAGTAGTTGCCTAATAAGCAATTCCTCTAGTTCAAAATACTTCTGTAATATGACGTTTTGTGTACAGGTCATTGCATCATGATGCTGTTGAAAAGTTGAATAATTTATGCAATACTTGGACAAAGCGACAATCTCAGGATCTACCAGATTCCATTAATGATGACATAGATGTTGCTGTAGGTTATGCCCAGTTACTGATTTCTCAAAAACTACAGCAATTTCTAGACCTTATTGTAGAACATGAAGACACAAATAGCTCTACTGAATTAAAGGTTTTGTCAACTGATCTTGATGGTTTCTGGGGGATAGTAAACAATCAGGTTTGTAGATTTCATCTTTTCTATAATTGATTCAGATTGGCTTTATGGTACCTATAAATATGAATTCAATATCCTCTTTTTTTAGCTTAAAGATATTCAAAACAAATTTGATAAGCTTGAAACCTTGAGACTAAACAACTGGCAAGACTCTAATACCAGCTTGCTACCAGGGAAAGGTACTACTGAGAATAATTCCAAGAAGCCAAAGGCAAAGGCAAAAGGACATGCTTCAACAGGCCTTCGATCTTTTCTTGCTCAAGCTCGAAAACAGGCACAGGCAGATGTTGGTGAAAACAACAAAGCAAGCGTTGGTAGGTTTTCCTACACCTTTTTCTCTCTCTATTGTGTTTGTTAGGGCTTTAGTGTTCTAAATTTCTCATTTACTGATGACAAATGTGTTGTAGTATTCAACAGTTCATTAATGCAGACCAGACTGACTAGTCCTATAGTAATGCGAGTGACCTCAAGAGCTAAGCAGTTAGGATCACCTCGAACTCCTACAGTTTCCACATCCAGAAGTCCATTTCGTAATATCCAGTCTGAAAATGTGCAAGAGACTGTACAAACTCCAAAAAGTACCAGAAGGACATCATCTCACAAAAGGGTATTACTTTCAGGTATGAATAAAGTATCTTTCTTAAAGCACGCATGCCTTCAGATCATAAATAAGGGATAGTTTTACAATCGTTGATTGTGTTTGTCATTGTTTATCTTTGAATTAACTACATGTAAATTGTTCAGAGTTTCACCATATTCTGGAAACAAGATAACTATTCTAGGAGAGATAATTGCATTTATTTGCCTTTGCTTTTCATTTTAATAGTTGTAATTTCACATTATCATAGGAAATTTGTAAAAAATGCCTAAAATCATCGGGTTGGTCTATGATATTCTTGAGCAGATCTGAATTTGAGCGCATTTGAAAGAATTGGGATCTGACGATTTTAATTAAAATCAGAAGTATGTTTAAGGTTATCTGTATGAATTTTTTTGAACTGGAAAAAGTTGGATAGTTTCTCATTTATTTAAAAGAATACCTGTCTTCCTAATCAAATTGTACAATAATGATAGCTAACATAACTCCGCAAGAAAGTGTTTTTCCATAAGTAATGTTTGTTTTACTTCTTAGAAATTAAAATCTGAAGGTTACGATTGTTTTAATATTCATATTGTTATGTTTATATACTATTTGCATGTATTTATGAACTCTTGACTTTTCACGCTTTTTATGTCGCATATTAATAGAATCTATCGCTTATTAACTAAATTCAATGTTAGAATGCTATTGATTGCAAGTCAATAGCTCTTATAAGGAGGCTAGAATATTATATAGGACAGTGTGCAATTCTAAAGTTGCCAAGAATATATAATGGAAAGTTTCCACCCCTCAATGCATTTTGAAAAGCATCACTATATCACTGTGCTGTGTCTGTGTTAACTGAGTTTTTATGTTCTTTGGTAACGGAGATGCACAAATAGTTGCAAGTATATTGAGAGTTTCTGTTAATGATTATTTAAACATTTAACTGAACACTGAATTCGGTGAACATCGTGAGAAGGAATTATTTTTCTGAATTCTTTTTTATTTTATTTTTTTGCAGGGTCCTCTTCTTTACGCCGGTCTACGAGAATTATGAAAAAGATTGATGTGGAAAATCTTAATTAAATAGTTTCCCTTTTTGTAATATCATATTTTATTCATGTACTTTTTATTTGTTTTATTGTATATGTATAACTTCCTATGTAAAATAAGACTGTTTTATCCAATTTAACAAAGGGTTTTACTCTTTTAAAAGTTGTTCCAACTATACAGATTCCAAATTTGTGGATTATTTTTCTCTGCTACCCTACTCCCAAGTGTATGATTGGTTTTCCTTTCAAGTAAAGGCCAAGAACAGTTACAAAGAGAATTTAGTATGCTAAGCATTCAATTTTTTTCATATTGTGCAGAAAAAGATGGGCTAATTAGGAAAACAATTTATTCCTTTTTAACATCCAGAACGGTTGCATTTCAAGGGGCAGGGACAGTTTTTACCTCTCCTTATTTTGGTAAGAAGTTACTATTTCATGGTTCATTATTAAAGCCTTGTGATCTTCACAAAACAAATATTGCATTGTGGAAACTGCATTCTCTCAAGAGTCACAAAAACAAATTGTGATTTCACTTCAGTTTCTGCCAGTGGGGAGAATATGGACAATGTGAATGTGTAGCCAGTGTGGTCAGTTGTGCAATTAGAGAGCAGCAGAGGACTAGTTCAAGAAAGAAGTGCCATAGATGGCACTAGTTCACCTTCTGATCTCTTTAGGCTAGGCTAGCTCTTCGGATTTTCCTTGGTTTCTTCCCAAGTGCTACCTATTGATGCCTTCAAGGTTTTCACCTTTTCTCATTTTTTCCATTCCCTAATAGACTTAAAATGTGACTTGAAGCAAACATCTGCATATAAGCAAATTTTCATTGAAAATTTTTGACATTTTTGAAAGTTGAATTATGAAAAGACACTATAATTTCTGAAAAACAATTTTTTAAAACCCATTTTCACAGAAAACTTTAATTTTTGCATTCTATTATATACAGATTAATATATGTAGTATAGAAAAGGTTTGGTCACGATTTTATTTCAGATTTTCCGCCCAAAGAGGTAATGTACAAACAACAGCGAATGTTCGCCTGGACAGTCGGAGATAGAAAAATTTCAACGGCGCTTCCTAAGATGGAATAATTTCGGGTCAAGGGAGACCCCCTGAGAGATGCAAAGTGGGTGCGCGATATCGCCTACTAGACATTGCACTGAAGCTTTTGGACTATACCTTATGGAGCAGTCGTAACGCTGTGTAAGAATTCAACAAAAATACGGCAGTTTCCGAAAATTTTTATTTTTGGGGAAAGGGAAACTGGCCGATAATTTTTAATTTCAGTTTCGTTGCAGTTTTTAAAGAGCGGCTTTCTTATCAATTTTGAAAATACCTGGCAAATAGCGGCATTTTAGCGATGAGTCTGCAGAAAAAATGACAAAACTAAATTGGGTGATGCCTTATCAAAAACATAGGAAAAATGAAACCTTTAATAAACAAACTGCAGGAAAAGTAAAAATTCAGTAAGGTGTAAAAATGTGTTCTTTTGAGTAAAATTGGTACTTCAGAGCAAAATATGTACTAAAAAGTCTTAGTTTTTTGGCAGTAACCGATATGAAACGTGAAGATATATCGAGAGCGTAGGCTTCCGCGGCCTGAGTCAGTATTTAATTGGCTCTCCGGGTGACACTACGTCCGTGGCAAAGATGCCGACGTTTCCGTCGCCATTCTGCGACCTTCCTCAGGGCGTAATGCTGGGAGGCATTACGATAGGCGTGAAGATATATCTTTGATTCGATTTGTCAAGTGTTACTTTAGGAAAATGTGTTATTACGTAATTATCCGGGCCCGAGCCATCGCTAATGAAATCTGAAGTGCAAAAGTGAATGCAATAATGAGTAAATGCATACACAGGAGACTGAGAAATCCCATTTTTGTCGACCCACAAACACTTCCCTACCTAAAGTACTGTAACGTTTCTTAGTGGTGAATTAAAACACAGGTAATAACAAAGACGTTTATTTTGTTTTTTAATGAAACTAAAAATACTACTGGCTGGCGCCCGTCTGGACCTATCCGGAACTTGTGTCACGTCTACGCGACAGGCGGCTCACCAATGTTTTAAAAAGCGCCAAATTAGCGACATTTGAAAAACTTAACATTGTCTTTTAGGAGTTATAAGAAATCTTATTTGCAGTGGTAAACGAACTGCAGATGTGATTTTCTGCATTGCTAACAAAATAGTAACTCGCTATAAGCTCTACTCCTACCACTACAAGCAAAAGGAGAATTCAACAAAACGTGCGCATAGTGAAGGTACTTTTACGTCCAGATGCAAAAACGGAGCAATCTCAGCATTTGCTCAATGTATCGGGGAAACGACAAAATTCTGATCGAGATGGGGGTGATTGACCCGAAAGCTGAAATACATTATTTGTTACAATTGTATTGTGGATTTCTGGTAGTGAGCTGTTGATGCTGACACTTGATGAATGTGATTTCTATGACGTGTGTTGTAATCATAAATATCAGGATTGTATGAAAATATGTTCTCACCGTTAAGTCAGTTTTGACTAATATTACAGATTCGTGAATTCCACATTGCTTTAGTTTTTTTACTTGCGTTAAAAATATCCTGATTATTTTTCACTATTTTTGCCTGAACTATTACTTTCCTTAAAACTCTTTTTAATTCTTGGAAGTAGACATGGAAACCGGGTTATACGTTATGATGTTTAGAAATAAAGGAAAGCGTGTTTTAATACCTTGTGTGATCCATATATATTAAATTCTTACAATAAGATAGAAACAATATCATTTTTTATATAAATACAGGAACCCACGAACCACATATTAATGCTCTCGTGGCTCAGTGGCGAAGTCGCTTGTCTTTCACCACTGAGGTTCTGGCCTCTTCTCGTAGAACATCATGTGAAATTTGTTACGTCAAAACGATTTTGCATGCATCATCGGGGCTAGTCCAACCTCTGTATAGTGTCCTAAACCCTACCCCGATCTTAATTCCTTCCCAATTCTGGCCCTGAGTAGTGACGCAGGGGCGCGTACGCAGAGATGCTACTTGACAGTCCTCTTGACAACTATCTGCGAGACATGAGGGATATGACAATGATAATTAATGGAGGATTACTCTGAAAGCGCTCAACGCCCACTAAGGCTTGGAGACGCGATGCGTCAATTGAAGTCGCCACAAATGAAAAACAAACTCCATAATCAGGGCTGTTATTTGATTCCCTCGCTCTACAATACGATCCTGCAAGGTAAAAACTAGGAATTTGGGGTGTGTTTAGATCATGAGTCAACCAATGTTCTGTAAAGAAAAAAAATCTATTTGACCTAAACCACACTGTAATGCTCGATAAATTCAATTTTATTTGAAATATTGCACATTATGATGCATTATTTGAATTTTTTGCATGTATCGACACGGATGTTTCTCTGCTGCATTTCTGCGCAGAAGATCGATAGTGCTGCCGCTGTGGCGTGCACAAATTCCTTAACATGCGAAAATAAGTTGGTACTACTGCTTGACTTCCGACAGTAGCGTAACGAACCGTAGGACCAGGATGCTTTGCAGCCGTTTGCACTTTGCAGCTTTTCATTGGCCGAGTGAAGAATGAACGCTGATGAACACTTCAATTGCATCCTCTTGCACAACCTTGCGTCACATGCACGTGGCTAAGTCAAATGCGTCAAGAGTTTTACTGCTGACCGTTTGGCCTATTTTCAGAGTGGGTGAATTGTGAGAGTACATCAGGTAAGGTGGCTCGGCGTTCTGTTCAGTTGCGGCGAATTGTTTCCATTCCCACTAGCGTTTCGGCACGGTTCAGTCCAGTTCAGTCGGGATGTCCCGCGTTTTTTTAACCGCGGCGCCGAGCCGCCGAAGGGTTTCCCATTTTTATGTTTTCTTTTGCCTTACTTTGTTTTCAACGTGAAAAGTGCAATGTAGTTTCCTTATGTCGTCGGAGTCGCTGGCGCCGACGAGCCCTAGCAAGTTTATCCTTTGCTGAAAACGCAGAGAAAATGGTATCTGCTAAATAATTTCATGAGTTTCTTCCGTTTCCACCAATTTAATTGTTCATCCCGGGTATCCTTGTAGGCGACTCTACAAAAGTGGAATCATAATGTGAAGGACACAGAAGAAAGTGGAAAATGTTCCAGAAGTAAATTAATTCACAATAAATTTGGGAAATAATTTAGGGGAAGATGACTGTAAAACAGAATAGACATAATAAGAATACTGTACTGCTGGATGTGTTTTTGTCGGGAGGTATGTTTTTCAAGTGATTGAAGATGAAAGTGAAGCACTGGATGGACAAGGTAGATTGAAATTGACAATAGTAATTTTGGTAAGCATAAGCAGCAGAAATATCTTGCACCGTGGGCTGTTCGGCAACAAGTGACAAGTTTAAATTATTGCGCATGGCACCAAATCAAACTGCACTGCCACTCTTGAAACCGAGGTGTTTAGGACCTACCTTGTTTTGAAGTCTGTTGGGCATGCTAAATGCAAATTGAGTGAAAGCAATAGAAAATTTGAAATATATAAAAATTTGGATTATGAGAATTTCAGTAGTCTTTGTACTGAATTTCATTTCATACTGTATTTCCTTTCAATTCCTTCTTTTGGACATTTACATTTCAACTTCGTGACAACATTTGAACAATATTAATCCCACACATTTGATATTTTTATTCTGAAATTCGGAAAAGTAATTGTTTGAAAAAAAACCCAAATTGTGGTTATGTAAAGTTGTAATTAAATGTGTGGAAATTGAAAAATTGTTTTAAATTGATGTAAACATAGGAAAAAATCATTACAAACAAAATTTTTGTTATGAGAAAATCATATGAATGAGAGTATGAAATGAACAATTACATACTTGAAGGAATTGGTAGTAATAGTTTTGTGTGAATAATGGAATTGGGAATACATAAAATAATTGTTTTGAGAAGAAATTTTATAACGGTATAAATGGTAATATAAGATTCTGGAGTCTAGGACATGATACATTTAATAGAGAATCTGGTAGAAACACAGTTGATAACATTTTAAAATTTTTTTGAGAACTGAGTGATAATCAAATAGTAAATCAATTGCTAGCATCTTCATTGCGTAAATTATTAATATTATAGAAGTAAATGACTGATGATCCCGAGGTACAGGAAGAGATAGATTTTACAGTTAACTTTTATTTCCACTATGCAAAATAAATTATATTAAAGATCGTATTTTAAGAGTAATAAAAATAAATTAATATGCTGGATTTGTTAAAAGTAGAGCAAAAAGCATTGAAAATAACCTAAATGCTTTCAGAAAGTTACCGAAGCGTGTGCTAAACTAATTATGTGGTTAGGTTACTTTCTAAAATGACACGTTTCCAAATAACTTAAAAATATCAATTTAGGAATAGAGAATGAGAAAGGAATAGACTACAAAGATGAGACATGGCATGTGAGCAAAATCAAAGGTAGAAAATATCAATACGTCACAGGAACAGCTGATCTGGATAGCAGAGATTGCTATGACAGTAGTATCGTGGCAATCTCGGACGGAAGGATCGTGAGTTCAAGCCCCCCCCCCCCCCCCCCCCACACACACACACACACACACAAGATATAGGTTTTGTGTATGTTTGTGATGTCCATTCACCCTTCATTATGGGAGATAAAAATTGGATTCAGTGTAGAATGCTGATCCCCCAAAAGGTCGCATACTCTTCAAATGCAACTGCAGGATGTCTGTGTGGTCCTAGCTGGCCAGTTCATAATAAAAAAAAGAAAGGTGAGGACAAATTTCTACCAAATTTTAACTGAAGTCTAGAAGACTTCAGCAATGAAAGTGATTATATAGTTTGCAATTACTTTCTAAGAAAAAAGGAGGATGGGGGAATGTAAGGTTAATATTTGTATCGTTCTCAGTATTTCAGTTATCAATCCGTTATTTAAGAAGGGAAAGTATCATGGTACGGGTAATTATAGGCTGATGTCTGTTACTAGTAATGGAAAAATGTTTTCAAAAATATGAGGTGAAGTACTCAAAGAGTAATTCAAGAAATAATATAATTAATAATAAACATTAGGTAAAGGAACAGGAAAACCTTCGGTACAAGTGAACTCTGTTAATAATAAATGAAATAGAGGTCATGGTTATCTCCTAGCTACATTGGTTACATAAACCTTTTAACAGATTAGCATTCCGTTTTATTAAATAGACTGAAGGGAATATATAGTACTTGCAGCTTTTGAAAATTATTTGATAACTAATGAGGAGAAACTTTGTAGTGATAGTAACTGACAGATACCGTAATCTTCAATTAATAAAATATGAAGTACTGTAGGGAAGTCGGGATAAACCAGTGTTATTAATTATATATCAATAGTTTATTTGGTGTTATTACGTATGTTATACATGTATTCTCTGATGTGATGTGATGAATTCTATTATACTTAACAATTCTGTTATAGTTAAAAAAACTCATGTATTCATCAAGGTGAACTGTAGAGTAAATTTAATGGAATTGTTAAATGGTCCCATAAGAATAACTTGTACGTAATTCTTCAAAAACAAAAATAGAGAATTTTAAAGTACTAGATTTCACTGCTTTTCAAGTACTTATTCACATGTAAAATTAATGAAAGTGTTCTGGGAGAAGAGGGCAGTATTATGGATCCCTTTTCCCCAGAATGCTTTAAATTAATGGCTGTATCATTTTTCACATCTTCACAAAGTTGCAGTTCAATCAATAAAGTGTAGCATGTGCATTTTTCTGTAATCAGTTGATCTGTGTACTGAGGACACTAGGATTGCTCATGAGTTATTATTGAGCTTCAACATGTTAACAAATTTTTTTAATATAATGAAGCTCAATAATGATTGAAGAGAATTATAAGGAAACATAGAGAATTAAATGGAAAAAGAAATTGCAGCTCAAATTATGTTGTCGTAAAGTACAAATCTATTGGTTAGCTGTTCTGCTTCATTTCATACATTTTTACTCTCTCGCACTTAAGAAGGAACTCCTTAAGAAGAGAAAGTTGTGTAATGCTGCGCAAAAAAAGGGGAGATTTTGGGCAGAAAAAACTTATTAAAGGACACTAGTAACGAGAAAGTGGAAAAAATTCAGATACTAAATTTTAGGGGGGGAGGGGGGAGAATCCTCTAACACGTGGTGTAGCCAGAATCCCTTTTGTGGGTCCTTGGTACGGAAACTCCGATTGACTGCAAAACGTCTGTTAGTCTGTGAATAACGCTAGCAGCTACACCGTTCAGCAGATTTTCGTCAAAATTGATATTCCTTGATCGATCTGGGTGATGTCGCGGTTCCTTGAATTTGAAACCAATATTTTCATTGGGGGGGGGGGGTACTTTACATGAAGTCCCTGGAACATTTTCAAAAAATTGACGTAATCGATTTTAATTAGTTTGTTGTTGCATAGTGTAGAGAACGTTGAAGTGACTGGCGCAGGTCTCATGTTGGTTGAATACTGATTTTCTCGAAAATTGAAAAAAGTTCAATATATTTTTCGGCGTCTTCCTACTACAAAAATATTAGAGAGATATTTTTCCCGTCATAAAATCTGTTCCTTAATTATAGATTTTGAAATAGTCAAGTACAATTTTTCGAAAATTTGATTATTTTTTCGCGTAATATTGCTTTCAATATAGGTAATTTTTACTTTCCCGTATACATGCACTAATATACGCAATTTAGGCAAAGTTATGTATTGCTGCGGAAAATCGATTTCGAGATTTCGACGGAAGTACATGTTTTTGGATCCCCTGATAACTTAATTTTTTTTTTTTTTTTATCCAAAACGTCCGTCAGTGTGGCGTGTGTAAATACTAGTAGCGCTATGCGTAGAATCTCTCACGGCTTTGATATGCAGATTTCCGTAATTTGTAAACCTTATTGCATTCGTTAGTTAAAGTATTAATAATGACTTGAAATTAAGTTTTTTGAAAACTCAAAAATTTTCTTTGAAAAGGAGCTTCAAATTTCGAATTTACAGTAGCACTTAAACCCAGTTTTTAAAACGGCTGCAAATTTTTTTATCCTTAAATAATGTTTCCATTCTACAATTAGGAAACCGAAGAATTAGAAAAGTGTAAAAAAAAATGAACTTTATGCGGCCATAAGATGACAGGCAAGAATATGTGGCTAGTTCGAATAGTTAACCGAGACCAAGGGAAATAAAAAAATATAATACGGGAAAGTCTGTGGCATTCTGTAGTGCTAGTTAACTTTGGTTTTAATTATTTTTTCTTCCAGACGGCTCCATCGTTTTTGATGAAATTTTGTTGGTGGATAGTCTTGAAGGACGTTTACGAAAATGGTGCACGTCTCATGTTGGTTGAAAAAACTAATTTTTCTACAATTGAAACAATTTTTTTCAGGCTCGTTCACCTACAATTATGAAGATACATTTTTTCTTCGTAAAATGTTAATCAAAAACATGTTTTCAAATAAGGTTATGTTGAATTTTTGAGTATTTTTGGATTAATTTTGTCGCCGTGAAAATACTGCGCTTCTTGATCATAATTTTAGGTAGTTCGATGCTACGTAAGTTAGAATGTGTATAGCATTTCATATTTCTTTGTTCGTTTCTTACATTTGAACTTTTTTTTACGTTTATAAATTAATCTTTAAGAAATTATTTAAATCCTATTTAAATAAAAGATTGCTAGCCTTCAATCGCCCGCTCCCAATTTTTGCGGTTGGATTGCATTCTATGCAGTTGTGCAACGTAGTGATTTTATTGTTATTTATTATATATTTATTTCATTTTAATTGCGTCCTTTAATTGTGAAAACCAATCGATGAACGGTCATTGTTACTATTGCTGTAACGCCGCACAGATAAGATATGGTGGCTGCTTCTCAATCGCAGAAATAAAAACTAATATTTGTAGAATATTACAATACCGTATTGTTTAATACTCCATACAATGCCATAGTGTTAAATATTTTTCGATCTGTTTTCCAACGCTATTAGTATCGTATTATTTATTAACTTCTAAATATTTTACTTTATTGCATTCTGCGTATTTTTCCCACCAAATGTTCAACGATTTCAAGTGAGTTAAAAAAATCGTAGGAAATTGCACCACTAGTTCTTTTTACAACTCTCAACGTCGTCTTGAGAAAAGATATTGGAAGCGGAATACGAAATATCTACTTCAATCCTTAAGAAGGCTTAGCTAGAGATGTCTCAGAGAATATCTTCAAATATCTATTTAAAATTGCGCAAGATATAAGTACATCACTATTTAAAGGAAAACAAAATTCTGTAGAACTCAAAATTTCAGGCAAAGAGCAAGAAAAGGGACATCAGAATAAGCTAGTCAAGGATTAGAAAAGAAGCGAGGAAAACCCCCCAAAAAATTACAAATTTTTATATCAAATCTCTAGAACGGGAAAACTTAAGAAAGTGGTGTTTCTGTAAAGTGTTCTTTTTTGTAAGTAATTTTGCACATACAGCACAATAAAGAAATTGATAGTACAGGTACTTACATTGTAGTAGAAAAAGATAGTTCTGGATAAAAAAAACAAAAACTTATTGCATTATATAAGGTCTTTTCATATATTGGAGAGACGTAGGCAGTATAAATTGTAGTAGGTACATCAATGTAAATTGAGCTCTGCAAATTAGAATTTAAAAATTATTGAACAATAAGAAATTGGGTGAGGGACAATTGTTAGCCCATAATTAAAAATTAACTTCGCGGTTAAATGAATACCTGCATTTAACTCATTGTTATGGTGGTGATACTTTTTAAGATTTCATCAATTAGTGATTATCAAGTCACAAGATATAAGTATTGATACACATAGATATGTGCTCTATGCTCAGTTCAGTAAGGTTTCTGGGTAGCGAACAAAGATTTCTTAAGAAAGTTCGAATACGATCTTTTCGTCCGACGACAAACACGGGAATAATTCAATATTTTTATGTCAATTTTTTTGAAGATTTGGGAGAAAAAATTCAAAATTATATTTCATCAATTCTGGCTACAGTTCTGGGTAGTCAACAAAAAGAGTTCTAAAGAGAGTTCCAATACTCTTTTTTTTTTTTGTCCGACGTCAAAGGCAGGAATTGTTCGATGATTTTAATGTTCATTTTTCTGAAGTTGGAAATTTGAGAGAGAAAATTTTAAAATTATATTTCATCAGTTCTGGGCAGCCAACAAAGATTTCTAAAGAAAGTTCCAGTACGCTTTTTTTCTTCCGACGTAAAACACGGGAATTATTCAATATTTCAATGTTGGTTTTTTATGTTCTTGTAAAAGTAGAGTAGAATCTATGGCGTTTCAGTGGATCTAAATTGAAGTTATTCTTTCTAGAAACTGCGAATGTTCGAGAGAATGAAATGGCGTGGATGCACTCTGTGAGCGACATACCGATGAAGGAATGGTCTCTTAGACACCAAATCGACTCAGTTGCAGTCGGCGATCGTATTTACTTGTTTGGCTACTGTAAGACATGTGAAGAGGATGGAATGCAGGTCATCACCTTCCATCCAAAGACATTCACTTGGGACGTTATCAACCCGCCATCCAGAAGTAAGGAAAACATCGACAGTCTGGCGCCCAAAGACGAATATACTTATTTCGTCGAAGCTCACAATAAAAAAGTGTACGTGTGCGTTGGAGGGTATATGAACCTGAAAGGACACGAAATTCACATTTTCGACACTGCAAGTAACAGGTGGAGTTGCGTAGCTACGATTGGTGATGTGCCTTCAGGCGAAATGGGGGTATCCACATGTGAGAACGATGGACTGGTGTATGTGTGCGCTGACCATAGGGGTGGTAGCACTTATCGCGGCGGATCTTATATTTGGAGCCTGGAACTGAGCACCTTGCGGTGGAAATTGTTAGCTAAGGAAGTGTGGGGATATAGTTATGTTCCTCAATACGCAGCTCCTTATCAAAATCGTATTTATGTGCTATTAGAGCGATATCGCAGCGACAACGTCCATAAATTCAAAATAATCTGTCTTGATTTGGCCACCAGGTCATGGGAGTGGCTTGAACCGCCCGGCACTAAACCATTGTCGAAACAGAACTGGATTCCGTTCGTTCGTGGAAATCAGCTGTACGTACTGCTCACCGAAACACGTCTTAATGATTACAACATCGTCAGAAAATTTGGCAAAAGAAGACTGAACGAAATTGTTGTGAAGTATTACTTTGAATGGGATGAGTGGGAACAAGTATGGTTTAACGGAACTGCACCTCCTGATGCCTTGCACTGGGTTTGTGTCGTTGATAATAAATCTATTTTCTTGTCATTTTACAAACAAAAAGCGTATGTGCTAGACTTTTTGCCTAGTTTGCGCAGTATGTGTTTACAAGTTATAAGCAAACACCAGCTAGATTCATTTTCCATCCCAGAAGAATTGAAAAAAGAATTGTCAATGTACAATTATTCTTCGGAATGAAACGGCGAATTTGAAATAGTTTTTAATAATAATTGTTTGTAGAACATCTTAAAAACCGTCCGAAAAATTTGATTTTCTTGATTTTCACAATTTCGTTTTTACTAGTTTGTTGACGTGATTTCTTGATCAGAAGACTTTTACTCTCGAAATATTGAATCATAGCGCTCTTATAGTCTCCTTATTGGCCATTCGGCCATTCATAAGTGAAATTTTTATATAAGGTAAACTCGGTGACTAGCCGAATCTATAGAAATTTGCTTCGTATTCGGTTTCTTATCAATAGCTTCTCCTTTCTTCCTTTCAAGTTGCGAGATTGTTTATTTTAAGGTCTATCTCTTGTTGTGTTGGTCTTCGAACAGTCTGTTCTCGAGGTGAATGGATCCTAGAGATCTGTTGCCACATGTCTGGTTTAACTTTATTTTGTTTCACTCTTTGTAATATTTTTGCAATAAATTATTTGCCATATAAAAAAGCTTATTGCTTTCTAGAATCCTTTCAAATTTCAAGATAAGTGTGTCGACAGGTCTAACAGTTCCAACACATCTCCCGAGATCATACCTATATTTGTTATCAAATTAATATATTGTAAGAACACGAAGTATTTTGACAATATTGTTTCTCGTGTGTATTTCATATATTCAATTCCAAACACAACTACTCAACTTTGACAATTACGGTAATAATTGCAATTGATGAACTGATGTCCATAGCACCTAGCTCAATGCTGAATTGTACCATCTGAGAAAATTCCCCTCCAAATTTTGAATTTACATGACAATTGTAAGTAAATTTCTTGACAAATTGCATTGTGTGCCTCTGTAGAATGTTGAAATAAATTGTAATGTAAAAAATTAAATATTGTGTTTTATGATACAGTAAGCCCTCGTTAGCACAAACTTGCTAGGTGAACACTCGGTTAACACGAACAAAATGTCGACCTCGGCAGCTACGGACATGATCTTACAGGAAGTTTTATCAGTTAACACGAATTTCATTTATCATGAATTACGATTCTAATTTTTAGTCCGTCGTGAGATTATACATTTTCATTTAACACGAACTTTCAAAGTTTCTTCCTTTATTTTTCTTTTGTTTCTCTGTGAGCCTGAGACAAGAAAGAGACGAGAAGATAAAAATTTATTCACTAACTATTTACAAACATCTATGTACAATATTACCCGTACGAATTATAGGCTGCTATTCCCTTGTCCCATCCTGGAATTGCCCTGTTCGAATCACGTGTGCCCTAAGTACTGAAGGCAGCTCATCTCGTGACATCAGTCCGTCACAACTCGAAGTCTACTTATGGTGCAATAACAACCCACCGCCTAAACGTGGTCTCGCACCAACCTGCACGTCCGTAATTAGGAATCCTATCCTATAAGGAATTTTTCACCAGAAAGAGTACATTTTTTCAAGTTACAGTACACCTTGAATGCATTTTCTGTTGTCACAAACTCACATAGATATACTGTACCTGATAACACTGTTGATGTAGGAGGATGACATGTATTGTGTGTATATAAAGTATTTACTAATAATTAAATATCCGTTCTTTCTAGAAATATCAAGAAGACCCCACTGTGAAGGATGGCATGGACAGGATGGGTGAGCGGCATAACGCCGAATGATTGGTCAAACCGAAGATACGATGGTCAAATCTACGCTGTTACTGTCGATCGCCAGATTTTCATTTTCGCCTTGAACAACACCTTCAGAATAGATGTTCTCCTCTTCAATCCGAAAACCTACACCTGCACCGTCATCCACTCGGCCGAGGAGAGCATCAATGAAGACTTGGCTCCTAAATGCGAAATATTTCATTTCGCTGTAGCCTGCAAGGAAAAGGTGTACTTATGTATTCGAGAAAATGTGTTCCGTAGAAAAAAGATAGACGTCTTCGACACGCGGAGTTTGCGGTGGAGCTGCTTGACGACGAGTGGGGACTTCCCTTTAGATATTATGTGGGTAAGCGGGTGTGCTGACGATGCAGCCGTATATATGTGTGCTTATTCCACGTCAATGGGTGGAGTTTACCTTTGGGTCTTGGATGTGAGCAATTTGCGATGGAATATTGTGACTACTGTGGTTGGACGTGACTGTATTCCTCATTGCGTTGTTGCTTATAACAATCGTATTTATATTGTGCATTCACGTGGGCTTACGGGCGTCCGCGTTTCTTATTACGATTTGACGTCGAATACGATGACCCAACTGCTCGGCACATCACCGTATTCAATGATGGGGACGATTCATTTAATTCACCGAGGGGAACTATATGTGTTCTATTATAAAAAAAGGAACAACGATGAACACTGGGATAATTTTGTGATGAAGTATTCTTTTGCTCAGGATAACTGGCTGAAAGTGGAGTTAAAAGGTGTAACGACCCCTGATGCATTCGAAGCTGGATGTATTGTTGACAATGTAGCGGTTTTCTTTTCCCTCTATAACAAGAAAGCATACATTCTAGATTTTCTACCTAGTTTGCGCAATCTATGCTTTTATGTTGTTTGCAAATATCAGCTATCAACCTTTCTACCTGCAAATTTGGAAAGAGAATTGTCAAATTTACTTGTACCTTTCTGATGATTTCAAGTAGGAATAGAACACACCAATTCATTCCGGTCTGACCTGGTTCGATGACTGAATCGTCGTTTAACTTTTGTAATTCAAACCCTTCGAACGAAAATAAGTTTAATTGAGTACTTCCAAATTATCAACATCCACTCCCTTATTTCAATATTTTGGCATTTTTGCGCAAGAGTTCTTGATACATGAGCTCCCTAGCCCAGTGCTGGAAAGCACAGCCCGTTAAGAAACGTACGCCCGACCCGGAGCGGCACGTACCAATTTGCAATTCTGCCAATCTCTACCTCGTACCTTCGTAATAATCTTCATTTCATACTATGCCGCATTTCTGTTATTTACGTGCCTTAAAAAACAAGGCCGGAATGTGGATCTTTACTGTACAGTGTACCGTAATGAAATTTCTTACCTACCAATGAACTTAAAAATTTGGTACCAACTTTTCTGATTTGTTTTATAAAACCATCACCAACGATGCAGTTGATTAAAATAATGAGAAGGAAATCAATCATTCATGAAAAATGTAGGTGACAGTGCCATATGATTTCGAAGTTAGATAATTATGTATTTTTAATTCTTAGATACAAATAAACAATATTTACAAAATGACCCTTCGTTTAAGAATTGTTCAAATGGTAATTGAAGTGTATGAGAGAAATTGTCACATAATACAGTGTGTTCATTTTATCTGTCGCCTAAGATTCGGGCAGCGTCGCCCGGGCAGTCTGGGGCTCATTCGTCCAGCGAAACAGACCCAACTTGCGTGCTGACATACGAGAACTATCGCTGCGCCACTTAACTTACATTAAAGAAGATACTGTAAGTGGTGTCCTTCTTGAATGTTCTAGTGGTGCTAGAATGCATTATTGGCACCTCAGGAACGCACTCTGATTTACCGTTTGATGTAACTCGCGATTCAATAGAGCACCGGAGCTCTTCCTCCGAATGCGGAGTTTCTGCATACACCTGATCTTTCAAGTACCCCCGAGGAAAAAGTGACAAGGAGTCAGATCAGATGATTTAGGAGGCCATATCCCACGACGAATTATTTGATCGTCACTGTAAGCATTATTTAAAACGTTCTTGGCTCGAACAGCAGCAGTTGCCGAATCATGTTGAAAGTAACAATAGACGCCTCAAAGGTTTTCTTGGAGATTGTAACGTGGCAGAGATTTTTTTCACCTGTCAGAATATGGCGCTTTCAACTCTTTTGTTGGTCAATTGAAATTCCATGGGTGCAAAGTTTCTTTACAAACTTCAAAATTGTCGACGGACATGGAATATTCACGCCCGGAAACGTCTTAATAACCCTCTTGCGGCACTTCCTGAAGACTCAAATCGAACGAAAGATGTTAAGAAATGTTCTCTGCTTCAAAGAAAATTTCATGATGCAGTTTAACGCTCTCGGGCCACTTGTGTATCAGCCGAAGTCGCGCCGAACGACGAACTTACCGGGATGAACGGGCGCTTGTTGACGAGTTCCCGGGGAACCGGGGGCTTGACGCGCCGCTTGCCTCGGCGATCATCTTCGGCGAAAGATAAAATGAACACCCTGTATTACATAGGTATTAGTAATACCGCGAGAAAGTACGTGCTGATGTAAGACCTCTAGGTTTACTAGTAACGCTGTGCTACGAAATGCTATTGTGAACTCCCTTTTGAATCTTGAAATGGCATAAGTGAAAATTGAATTATAGTTTTTGTTCTTCGGGCTTGTGAAATCCTCAGCACCGAAAAGAGTACATCACATACAAAGAGCTCTGTCTTCAAAAGGAATCGGAGACCATACTCAAATGTAGGAAGGGACCCCCTAGGAGTGAACGAAGATCGACGTTTTTGGTGCAACGAATTTCGACTAGTTTTGTTCTTGTAAGAAACCCTTCAACTCACAAAGTGCCTTTTTCGATCTACACAGGTTGTGTTGATGTACTTGTATATCTGTATTTTGTTGAAATAAATTTAATAAATTGATTCCAACGTCAGAAGTGATTTCTGGTGTCAGTTCAACTGAAACACTTTTTCGAATTATGAATTATTTTCAGTTGAAGATTATAATTCTGCACTTAAATAAATGTATTGCATCTGTTATCTTCTTTATTTTATTTTATTGGTTTTTTAATAAAATACTCAGTATTTTTATTGTAACAATTTGTTGACGTTTAGAACCTATTTGGAGTCTTTTTCAAAAATCTATTGTCCAAGTTTGCTGATACCAAACAAACAGCATTTTTATAAAAAAATTGTCAGTGGTATAAAAACTCTGGTCAAGTCGTAAACATCATTTGGTCAACTAGTATGACACAACTCCCAGCACTTGAAATGCTGCTTGTTTATGATCTGTTGTCAACAAATTTGGACAATAGGTTTTGAAAAAGACTCGAAATAGGGTCGAAACGTCAATAAGTTATTATAATAGTTAAAACTGAGTCTGTTGTAATGTTATAAAAAACATTGCAAATCAAATTCTGAACCATTGTAAAATGTGCAAGTTTGAGAGGAAACCAAGAGCTATTACCTTTTTTTTTGCTGCTCCTCTACCCATTTTCCAGAGGAAAAAATTTGGTTTAGAGCGTCATATAAGTAATACTACTTACTAAAAGCGAGTGGAGACACGTGTCAATAGACGCAAACAATTTGCGATGAACTTGAGGTACGTTACTAAAAACGACAATCGAAGGTCCATGCGGAAAAGTGCTCGTGTAATGAAGAAAAAATATGCATATTTCATTATAATGAAACCGCAATATGAACGTAAGGTAATTCCATATGAAAGATCTTGAAAAAAATTGACTATGATCTTGAGGACATGTGGCGATTCATATTTTAAACATTGTGAGCATTTTTTCTTACTTTGTCTTGCCGAACCTCTCGTAGTTCACATGTAGCAAGTCTGTCAGTGTGACGTCATCGGGACTGGGGCGATGCGAATTCTTGTGAACAACGCTTCTCGTTTTTTTATACCTAGAATTAAGGCGTTCCGATTCTTGTACAAATGCAGTACATTTGACGCAGCTTTTTAAAAGCGACTAGCGTACCCGTGCGAGAATTCTAGCATGCTAATCCCCACCCCTTCTCTATCCATTTCCCTATCCTTGCCATTAATGAAACGTGTTTTTGTTTAAAAATGTATCAATGTAACTTCGTACTTATAGAATGTATAAAAAACAATGCAATTGATGTTGGAAACATGTTTAATACAGGTTTATTCAGTATTATATAGATTCTCCGAACAATTTGGCGCTTCTTTAAAAACATTTGGAGTAATAATTCAATCTTCATTGACTATTAGCTTTTCACTTTCCTTGATAGTCACTTACTCTCCAAGTAAAGTTTCCATACGAAAATACAGGATCGGGCAAGTACAACCTTGCTTTTTGCAACATAATTAAACTTTCTTGTATTTGTAATGGGCAACAGAGGAGGTTTTGGAGGGGCAAGGGGCCAGCTTGCTGGGGTGCGTAAGTTGAGAAAGTGTTTGTATACTAAAATCTACTGAATTATTTTCTGCGTTCTTACGTACCTGAAGAAAAGCAATTTCGAGGTAAGCAAATAAAACGAATTTCCACCTTTGAGTAATAAATACTATTTGTTACACTTTGAAACAATTCTGTAGACTTACACTTAACGTCGGTTATGGGAATGTTGCTCGACTGATGATTATGTATTGAATATCTTAGCGAACCGGCACCCTAAGTTTGATGTCAAACGGTGTGTTATTTACAATACGAGTTAACAGCTGGACATTGATGTACATACTTTGAGATACCGCCAACTTTTAAATCGTTCTTCTGGATTGGGATCGTTGGCAGTTGTCGAGGGACGCGTTATTCTTTCTATAATTTTAAATTTGGTTGGTTGTTTAAAATTCATTCACGTAGTATTGTAGGCTTGCGCGATTTGATTTTTGTTCATGTATTTCAAGCTATTTTACTTTAGTTAATTTAAAAAGTTTGTTCTTTGTGGTGTTCCATAGCACACGTTTTCCCCTACTTCCTCCGCGTATCCGTGCGAGAACTCTGGCATGTCAATCCCCACATTCTTCCCTGTCATTCTATTTCCATTGTTGGAGGAAAAGTTTTAACAAAACGTATTTTTTTGTTTGAAAAATGTTTAAAGGTAACTTCCAATGTACTAACACAATATCAAAAATAAATAACAATGCAAATGATGGTGAACAAATTTTTAATGAAGATTTCGTCAGTATTATCGAGATACTTCGTGGAACAATTCACAACACTTTCTTAAAAATATTTGAAGACATTATATATTCTTTGACAGCTTTTCGTGATAGTCATAAAAATATTAATAAAGCTTTTTACTCCTGAGAAAGCGACGAGGTTGGCTGAACACGCTGACTTGAAAGTTTCACCAAATCACTGCTGATAACGAAAATACTACAGGTAAAACACAAACCAAACCTAACAAGATACGTCTTCACTCATCACTGTACGCCCACATCCCGCCACAATTAGGTACACATCACTTGTAGATCTCAGCAGAACGTTAAATTAATGGATTCACTACACGCGTAAGAAACAATCTTCATTGGTACAAGAAACTATTAATAGTACTTGTAGTTGTTGCTGCAACAGCGAATATTGAAATAATTATTAAGCAAATAATCCTCGTCAGTCTGCGCAAACCACAATGTCAGGTTACACAGAAAGTGTAAATATAAGATAGAATAATTTAAGCCTTCTAAGCGTGACGTCACAAAGGCTTGAAACATAAATGACATTACATTTGACGTACTACTGTATACTGTACTGTTAGTATACTGTTATGCCGTACTCTTATGTTGATATCCAATATTCCCGCCAAAAATTGTGGCGCCAATTTCGACTACTCAAATAAACTCTGCGATTGAAGCGCTCCATGTGGTAGATACAGTTAGTGCGCATTCCACGATAAGAGATGTCGCAAGCGTTGCAACGGGCACGACAAACGAGTTGCGAGTTGAAGTATAGGTTGCATGTAAGTCGCTGCGGCTGGTTGCTTCACCACTTCACAATACACTTTATAGTATTATCTGGAGGAGAACGGAGAACTTCGCCGTCTAGGATTGCCAGACATATACCACGTTTACGCTGCAGGAGAGGTGAGGTCGCGTTGCTTTGTTTGCTCTACAAAACTCATATCTTCAGACTTCAATCCATGTTCTTATCATCTCATGCTATTATGTTCATTCTGTCATGAAAGTTAGGCAGTTATCGTTTTAATAGTTTAAGGAAATATTTCAAGGTTGTATTGTCAAGCTCATGCAACTCTTTTCTGCGATTGACCAAAACTTCAGAATATAAACATTCCTCGTGATCTAAAGCAAAACCTTTGGCAGTTACACATACCTTATACTATGGGGAATGTCCACAAAATGTTGCGCAATACTGTGGTAACACTTTCGAAGGTTTATCATAACCGTTTTTTATTTTAAAAATGATCTTCATTATAAGGTAAATTGGATGTAAGCGAATACATCTAGCAGCCCTTCCTAAAATACGAACTTCAAACAGTGACGTCTCCAAGTTAAACGGATAGGTCAAGAGAGTCACTGGGCACTGAATTAAGTTTGATCATTTTTAAATATAGTGCTTCGGGCTTGTAATACAGTGTAATAAGTGTGACACTTTTCAGTGTAACACTTGACATACGCATTACGCACTATGTCAAACTGAACAGGTCGAAACTTATTCATTGAACCTATACATGCTTGTTTTTTAAATGACAAGGACAGTGTCCCTTCAACTGATGGCACAAAAATTCCAACGCTTGAGAAAATATAGTGAACGTATTTTCTAAGGGTTAGATTCGGGACACATTACAATAAAGTAATTACCAAAATCTGGATTAAATGAATGCACAATTGTCATAGGTAATCCCACGACTGCTTTGGAAATTGCTGATAAAACCCCGACTCGCAAAGCGAGGAGGCACAGACACTCTCGTACTAACATTTTCTAATTTCTTTGATCTAGGCTGGCTTTATGGTCATGCCCCATCACCTTGCCATCTGCCATCTATCGCTGCCGAAATATTAAAAAAAAAAAAAAAAAAAGCTCAATTTTTCCGTTTCAAATGATAGAACCGTATTATAACTTTAGGAATATTAAAGAACTAGTAAACCCTCGTCATATATGGATATTTTCGTTGAAAGATTTCGAGCCTATTGTAATGAAAATAGATTATGCTCTAGTATATTTGCGAAATATGAAGACCTTTTTTGCAGTAATCTTTCGTGTTTTCAAACAACGTCGTTGAACAACTTTCACTCGCCAATTCAATAATAAATACAAATCGCTGGAAATGGCCGTATTAACGGCGTGAGAGGTATTAATAATAAAACATTTGTGTATTAAAAAAACACCAAAAAAACAAGCGAATACAGCAAAATTAACTCTGTCATCTTAAACAGTGCAATAAGTACTATCCATACGAAAAGTTTGAAGAAGAAATTTGGAGCTGTTTTTGAGAAAATGGCGTTTGATAGTTTCTGAAAATGCGAAATTTTGAGCACGTTCTCACAAAAAGCTAGTCATCATTTATAGCACATTACTCGTAAAGTCTACATGACCTTAATGTCAGAACTAATGATCGACAACCATTTTCATTTGAAGGAAATATAGTACGAGGAAGGAAAGAAGAGGCCAAAAAATTCCAATTTTTGAAAATTCAGAGTTAACTGTGACAATCGGGCCTATGCTACTTTCAGATGTGTATTTTACTCTATTCTTACAAGAGATTTTAAAAAAACATTTGGAGCCGTTGTGAAGAAAATTTTGAAAATGTTACAGGGCATTCGTGTAAAATACCCCCAAATTTTAAAGAATGTTTTTCAAAATCGAGACGAGCCAGATCGACTGGAAAATATCCATTTTTGAATTTTGTCGTCGCTAATGGTATTCACACGGACGGACGTTCTGAAGCAAAAAACAACACTTTTTCCGTGTCAGGGAACTCCAAAACGGTATTTCCGTTGAAATCTCGAAATCGACTTTCTACAGTATAACAGACGTTCAAATTATTAGACTAAAGACATTTTTCGTAACATAGTAGTATTTATTACAAATTTACATTTGTGTACACATTACGGTCATAAATTTAATACTCTTAGTAGCTCGTAGCCCAG